AAGAAAGGCAAAGTTAGCAGTTACAGCGGCCAAGACTGTAGCTTTTAGTCGTTTGTATGAGGAACTCGAGGGCCGAGGTGGGGATAAGAGGTTGTCCAGGTTAGCCAAGGCGCGAGAAAGGAAGACGCGAGATTTGGACCAAGTGAAGTGCATCAAGAACGAAGAAGGTAGAGTTTTGTCGGATGTGGGGCTTATCCGTCAGAGATGGCAGACCTACTTCTATAGTCTCTTGAACGAGGAGGGGGACATGAGCATTGTACTAGGTGATTTGGAACTCTACGGGAGTCGCTGTAACTTTGGGTATTGTAGGCAGATTAGAGTTGATGAAGTAGAGGGGGCTATGCATAAGATGAGCACGGGCAAAGCGATCGGGCCGGATGAAATTCCGCTGGAGTTTTGGATAAGTGTGGGCAAGGCAGGCTTGGAGTGGTTCACTAGGTTATTTAGTGTCCTTTTTAGAACGAAGAAAATGCCCGAAGAGTGGAGGGGGAGCACGATGGTTCCTGTATACAAAAACAAGGGTGATATCCAAAATTGCAATAACTATCGGGGTATCAAGCTGCTTAGCCATACTATGAAAGTCTGGGAGAGAGTGGTAGAGCTAAGGGTGAGGAAGAGTGTGTCTATTTCTGAGAACCAGTCTGAGTTTATGTCGGGGCGTTCGATTATAGAAGCCATCCACCTTATTAGGAGATTGATGGAGCAGTATAGGGAGAGAAAGAAGGACTTGCATATGATGTTCATCGACTTAGAAAACGCGTATGATAAAGTTCCGAGTGAGGTTTTGTAGAGATGTTTGGAGGCTAGAGGTATACCTGTTGCCTATGTTAGGTTGATTAAGGACATGTATGATGGATTAAAGACCCGAGTGAGGACGGTGAGTGGGGACTCGGACCATTTTCCGGTTATGATAGGGTTACATCAGGGGTCGACACTCAGTCCTTTTTTATTTGTTCTGGTGATGGACGTACTGATGTGCCACATCCAAGGGGAGGTGCCGTGGTGCATGCTATTTGCAGATGATATTGTATTGATTGACGAGATGCGAGACGGTGTGAACGTGCAATTAGAAGTATAGAGGCAGACCCTGGAATCTAAAGGTTTCAAGTTGAGCAGGACCAAGACAGAATGCTTGGAGTGTAAGTTCAGTGGTGAGACTCAAGGAGGGGAAGGGGAGGTGAGGCTGGACTCGCAGGTCATCCCTAAGAGAGGGAGTTGATGTACCTTGGGTATATTATTCAAGAGGATGGGGAGATTGATGAGGATGTCACACATCGTATTGGGGCAGGATGGATGAAATGGAGACTCGCTTCCGGTATTTTGTGTGACAAGAAGGTACCACCGAAACTTAAGGGTAAGTTCTACAGAGTGGTGGTTAGACCAACAATGTTGTATGTGGCTGAGTGTTGGCCAGTCAAGATCGCTCATGTCCAAAAGATGAAGGTAGCAGAGATGAGGATGTTGAGATGGATGTATGGGCATACCAGGTTAGATAGGATCAGAAGTGAGGTTATTCGCGACAAGGTGGGTGCGGCCCCTATTGAGGACAAGATGCGGGAAGCGCGACTTAGGTGGTTTGGTCATGTGAGGAGGAGGAGCACAGGCGCCCCGGTGAGGAGGTGTGAGAGGTTGACATTGGAGGGCCTACGGAGAGGTAGAGGTAGGCCAAAGAAAAGGTGGGGAGAGGTGATTAGGCAAGACATGGCGCAGCTTCAGCTGACCGATGACATAGACCCTTGATAGGAAGGTATGGAGCTCGAGGATTAGGGTAGTAGAGTAGGAAGTCTAAAGTGTTCATAATAGTAGCATTGGCACGCAATGTCGCTTTTTGTTGGTAGTAGGTTTTATGACTAACCGTGTTGTTTTCTTTCATTGTTGATCACATTTCTGTCTTGTTGTTTTTATTCTGCTTTTATATGGCATTTTGGTACTGTCTCTTCTTGTTTATTTTTATTAATGTGGTGCTTGTGCTTTCCTGAGCCGAGGGTCAATTGGAAACAACCTCTCTATCCTCACAAGGTAGGGGTAAGGTCTGCGTATACACTATCCTCCTCAGACCACACGGTGTGGGATAATATTGGGTATGTTGTTGTTGTTGTACTCATGAATATATTAATTATGGGAAAATGATATTGCATGTTAGCATAAGATTTAAAATATAACATGTACTCTTAGAAATATAGTGACATGGTTAAATAATTAATTACAATTGATCTCCAATTAATACCTAATAATTGGAGGAGCCAGCCACTATATACCTATCATATTAATTCTGATTAATTTTTGACACTAAATGAAAAAGACATTTAAAAGAAGCATGCCAAAATCTTTAATAAGATCCCTCCTCTTCTAAACAGGCCACTAATTAATGGTTAGAGATTTAGCACATGTCATTAGTATTTAGTTTTGATACTTAACTGAATAATTACGCATTCTCCATTAAAAAGGGCGTACACACGTTATATATTATTGCTAATTAAAAAAACAAATTTGATTTAATTTGTCTAATAGAAAACAAACGGCATAATATATAGCATATACTTTTAACTATCACATATTATATAGTCATGATAATTATTATCATAAGATTTCCACCACTTAAAGTGTTAAATTGACCGACTATAATTATATAACATTTAGTTTATTTGATTACCTTAGATTTTCTTGCAGATAATAAGACCAATATACATTTATATAATTTTGTGTTATAAGCTCCTACTTTAAAAATTATTGGAATTAATTTTTATGAACTAGTAATTGTTGCATTCCAATTTCCAAATTTGTGGTATTGCAAGATGTCAAGCTTTACAAATCTTTTACGTCTAACAGCTTGTTTGGAGGGTTGTTACGCATCGTTTCATAATGTATCGTATCGTATTGTATTGTATTGTATCGTTCGATAAATACAATGTTTGGATAGATTGTGTCGTTTGTCATCGTTTCATAACATCATGCACTAGCAATATAAAGAATAAACTTGCAATATTATAAAGAAAAATTATGATACAGGGTAAAATTACTATATAAAAGGTAGGGTAAATGATAAAAATAAAATAATTCAATAATAATAAAGGGTGAGATTGAGAGAAAAAGACAAGGTAGCGACGCGACCACACCAAATCGATCGTTACATAAAGTGGCACATTTCATTGTTATGTAACGATGGATTTAACGATACGATACAATACAATTAAATTTAAGTAACAATTAAAACAAATACTGTATTTAAAGTAATAATACGATACGATAGAGGTAACAACCATCAAAAGAAGCTGTAAAGAAAAAAAGCACAAGTTTTATAAATGACTCACGTATTACCTAAAAAGGAATAAAGAGAAGAGAAAGAACATAATAGAAAGGGAGAATTATTGGATATATGAAAGGGCACCTAAAAAATCCAGTTGTAAATATTTTAAAAAGTAATACACATATTTACACATGACGTGGAAAGTACTATAAATCACCATTTTGTGTTAACTTTTTTAAAAAAAAATATTTGGAAAAAAATATATTTGATTGAGTTGAAATTTAGATTTTGTAACGAATTATTTGTTCAATTTTTTGATTCTAATAAACTCTTTTAATCTGAAAAAAGAAAATTTGAACGACGAGTTGCTCGTGATATATCGCCTATCAAATTGGGATTTACATATTTATATATTAAGCTATTTGATGTCGGAGTAATATATGTTCATTTTTTTTTTATTCTAATAAACTCTTTTATTTTTTCCTCTCAAGAAAATAATTGAAATAATTATAGAAAGTGCTGCTTCATCTTCCGAAAGTAATAGCACTACTTTCAAATAATTTGTATGAAAAAAAAAAAGAGATATTAAAATACAGGGAAGTAGCTATTTGTGGGAAACGTAAAGGATGAAGCCAACGAAAATTTAATCAAAATAACTATCTATTACGTGTCTTTGTTCCAATCTCAATAAATTAAAGTCGAATTATACAAATCTTCATAGATTAGTATTATCTATAAACTCATCCCTTTAACCAAAAAAAATAAAATAAAATCATATGTTATCATCTAACAACGATAATTCCAGTATAATTTCACAAATAAAATTTAGGGAGAATAATGTATACGCAACCTTATTCCTACCTTGTGTAAATAAATAAGTTATTTTCGATAGACCTTTGGCTCCAAGCAAATAATATTTTATCATCTAACATCATCTAAATTTTAATATGGCCCTTGGTGAACATACTCCAACAATATTTATATTGTAAGAATAAGAATATATGACGAATTGGCTAATTTTTAACTAGTTGTCATTCTATGCAATTTTCATTCTTTCTTCGGGTTTGGAACCGATAATATGAGCAAGCTTAAGGGGTCTTTGGTAGGGTACAACAACAATAACAACATACTCAATATAATCCCACAAGTGGGTTCCGGGGAGCATAGTGTGTACGCAGACTTTACCCCTACCTGACGAGGTAGAGAGGCTGTTTCCAATAGAATAATACTGAATATGATGGACTAACAATGTTGAGATTAGTTATGCTGAGATTAGTTCTTATATACCGTTTGCTTTGGTATATTAAAGGTTTTGAAAGGGCAGTTCTCTCTTTATACATGTTTATCCTTATATTAAAAACTATAGTATTGCTAATGCCATAATTTACTATGTATAAGAATTAGTACTACTGAATAAAGTGTATAACTAATACAAGTAATATTAACAAACAAGGGATTAATAATACCAAAGCTAATATATGTATTATTTTCCTTAATACATTATACCAAACAATCTCTTAATTAATTATAGTTAGATAATAATGAGTTAAGATAAAAATATATTTTAATTCAGAAATTCAGGTACATATATATGACTGTCTCGTGAAGCATGAAAATTAATCAAAGTTCAGTATAAGGAGAAAAAAAAGAGTTCCTTTCATTTTCTTTCCTTCTTCTTCTTCTTCTTCTCTCCCTCTCTCTCTCTCTCTGTAAACCCCAACCTCTCTCTCTCTCTCTCTCTCTCTCTCTCTCTCTCTCTCTCTCTCTCTCTCTCTCTCTCTCTCTCTCTCTCTCTCTTTGTCTCTCTCTCTCTACCCAACTCACATTAATTCTTTGCTTCTACCTTTAAATTCACGAGATCCCCCATTTCACTTTTTTCTCTTTACATTGTAAAGATTTCTCAGTTAATCCACCATTACACTTACAAATAAGAGAAAAAACCAAAACCCAGTTCAAGATTTGAGAGTTTAAGATATACACATTGCTAAATTTATAGTATTAAAAAAAATGTCGCATTCTGGAAAACCCATATCGGAAATGGGTTTTGACTCATTAGCTGATCGGTTGAGAAACTCATTACTGAGTAGTTGTAATATTAACGAAGAGAAAGAGGAGGAGAAGAACGATAACAAGCCCGATTTTCGAGAACTGGATCTGGGTTCACCCGTTTCACCATTGATGACCCGAACGAGTCGACTCAGTACCTCTACCACTACTACTACTACCACCACTACAAGTAGTAGATCTAGCTCATCATCTGGATCCGGGTCGGGTCGAAATGTGTTATGTTCGGGTCCTAGAAGGTCAGATTCGAGTCATTCCGGTGAACTTTCGGGTTCGGGTTCAGTTGAGAGCTCGCCTACAGCACGTGGGCTCAAACCGGGTCATGGGCGGTCCGATTCGGGAAATACACATCCGTTAATTTACTCCGGCGGATGCTCCGTCACTTCCCCTGTCGGTAATGCGCTTCCGGCCGGCAATATTTGCCCGTCCGGTAAGATTTTGAAAACCGGCATGGCTTGTAAATCCACAAAGACTGATGTTTTAGGAACCGGAACGGCAAATTACGGCCATGGAAGCATAATGCGCGGCGGTGCGGGTCCAAAATCCGCCGTCGATGGTGGTTCTGGCCATACTATGAATTCAAGAGGATTTACTGTTGGTGAGACAGTAAAAAGAGGGATTTTTACTAATGATTCAGATGAGTTGAAAAGAATAGGGAATGAGAATTACAAGAAGGGTAATTTTATTGAAGCTTTGAGTATTTATGATAAAGCCATTGCTATTTCTCCGGGCAATGCTGCATTACATTGTAACCGAGCTGCTGCGTTAATGGCTTTGAATCGGCTAGGGGAGGCAGTGAAGGAATGTGAGGAAGCCATTAGGCTGGATCCATCATATGTTAGAGCACACCAACGATTAGGATCTTTGTTACTTAGGTAAGTGATTTATAAAAAGTTTGAATCTTTAGAATCTATCCATATGCGCGTTCGCGTATTGGTAATGTGGTGAAGTTTGTGTACGGTTTATGGATATAAAAAAGATCAAATTTTTAGAATTTATATGCGTGTTCTTCGCTTATCGGTAATGTGATGAAGTTTGTGAACGGTGTATTTGATATAAAAATGATCAAAATTTTGGAATCTATGTGTGTTTGCGTATTTTGGTAATGTGGTGAAGTTGGTGTAAGCTGTATGTGATATAAAAAATATCAAAATTTTGGAATCTATGTGTATCCGCATATTGGTTATCATAAATCTTGGTAATGTGGTGAAATTTCTGTATTGAAGAGTAAGTGTTAAATGTTTTATTTTCATTAATGTTGCTGGCTAAGTTATTGGCTAATGTAAAACTTTCTTGATTGATGCTTGCGGTGTATGGTCGTATTTGTTATCAACAAATCTTGGAAGTGTGGTGAAATTTCTGTAGGGTGTATGAAAGATTACCCGTTAAATGCGTTATTTTGATTATCTTTTCTAGCCTAGTTATTTGCTACTGCAAAACTTTCTCGATTGATGCGTTATTTGACATTTACCAAACAAATGTTAAATGGGATGCAGGGAATGTGTTGATTGGTGGGTGGATGCACTTTTTGATTAACCAGATCTGATTGTTTTGAACTAACAAAAGTTAATGGTTTTGTCTGTTTGGATTTTTGTGGTCATTGTTTCTGCTATTTGTTCCTATGTGTGTCCCTTTTTTATAGGGCTATAGTTTCATGCATTTTATTGTTGTTCCCCTTCCACTTTTTAGTTTCTTCGCGGATTGTAATTACACTTGCGACAGTATTCTCACAATTTCTTATCTGAATTAGATTATTGGAGTTTGCTTGCTTATTTTGCCTAGAACTGTAAGCAATCTCATTTCCTGTAAAACTTACAGTTTAGGACAGGTTGAAAATGCAAGGAGTCACTTTTTTTCCCTAGGTCATAAGCCGGATCAAGCTGAGTTGCAGAAGTTGCAAGCGGTGGAGAAACATATCAGCAAATGCACTGACGCCCGGAGAGGTAGAGATTGGAAAAGTACCTTAAGAGAAGCTGAGGCAGCAACTGCTTCTGGAGCTGATGCATCTCCTCAGGTAAAGCATTTCTAATGGTTCAGTTCCGTGACAAATGGTTAATGAAAATTTCAAGTGCTGGTACTGAATCTCTGATATTGAAAAAGCAGCTATTTGCATGTAGAGCGGAAGCTTATTTGAAGTTACACAAATTGGAGGATGCTGAATTGTGCCTATCAAAAACTAACAAGTTCGAACCATCTGCTGTAGCTTGCCAGTCAAATTTTTTTGGGATGCTCTCCGAAGCATACGTATTCTTTGTTCAGGCTCAGATTGAGATGGCTCGGGGAAGGTGAGTTTATGAATATAACATCTGCTGTAGTAGAAATAAGAGGTTCAGCAGGAGTATGAGAGAACGGATCATGAATATCTGCAGGTTTGAAAATGCACTGACTTCCGTTGAGAGAGCTGCACAAGCAGACCCTCGAAGTACTGAAGTTTCTGCTTTACTCAACAATGTGAGGCTGGTGGGGCAAGCTCGTGGTCGCGGCAACAATCTATTTAAATCTGAAAGATATACAGAAGCTTGTGCTGCTTATGGGGAAGGGCTCATGCGTGATTCTTCAAATTCGGTTCTCTACTGCAATAGAGCAGCTTGCTGGTATAAACTCGGGCAGTGGGAAAAATCTCTGGATGATTGCAACCAAGCTCTCATTATCCAGCCAAATTATACTAAAGCTCTACTTCGACGAGCTGCCTCAAATGCTAAGGTGACATGCCACCTTCAAATCTTAGTTACTACTACTCTATGTTTTCCTTTTTTTTTTCTTTTTCTATAACCGTGGTGTCCGGGTAAGCTTTCACATAACTAGATTAGTTCCACGAGATGCTTGTCACCTCCCAATAGGAACTAGGTAATTCTGTCCACCAAGGCTTGGACAGATGGGAAGAAACCTAGTGTTTTTTGTCTCCGCTGAGATTTGAACCTGAGACATCATGGTTCTCAATCCACTTTATCGACCAATAGGCCACACCCTTGGGTGCACTACTCTATGTTTTCCTAGAATCTGCTGTTTGAGAAAAAAGATCATAAATTTGACCTAATTCAATGAATTATAGCTGGAAAGATGGGCGGAAGCTGTGAGAGATTACGAGGTTTTGAGGAGGGAACTTCCATATGACAATGAGGTTGCGGAATCATTGTTCCATGCCCAAGTTGCATTAAAGAAGTCACGTGGAGAAGATGTTTACAATATGAAATTTGGTGGGGAGGTGGAGCTGGTTTCGGGTCTCCAGCAGTTCCGGGCTGCGATTTCATCATCTGGTAAGCTTTCCTGCATCTGTTATCTTAACCTTCCTTCTATCATTTACTATATAACTCAACAACTGCAGTTGGAAACTGTAGGTGCATCTGTGGTCCATTTTAAAGCGGCATCCAACCTACAATGCAAGCAGATATCCCCTTTCTTGGATACCTTATGCACCAAATTCCCTTCAATAAGTTTTCTCAAGGTAAACAATCATAGCCCTGAATTCAGAACTTTTACGTGTACAAGAGAGGAACGAAGAGAACACATATTAACTTACGGTTGTCTTCTGTTTTCTACTGAAGGTGGATGTGGAAGAGAGCCCAATAATCGCTACAGCAGAGAATATTAGAATAGTACCTACATTTAAGATTTACAAAAATGGTAGCCGCGTGAAGGAGATGGTTTGCCCAAGTCCAGAGGTGTTGGAGTCATCGGTGAGGCATTACAGCATTTAAGAGTGCATTGCCATTTTTCATTGCGCTTCTTTGCCTATTGCCTTGCATTCTCTTGCAATTCCAATTGCCTGATCACTCTGAAAACCGTCTCCACTCCCACATATAAGGATTCCATATATACATGTGACATAATCAGAGCTACCACAAAATGCTTTTATGAGCCGATTCAGCTGTGCCTATTGTCCGCAGAGGGAAAATTTAGTCTCCTTTTGTTATCCTTATTCATTCATTTATTCCTCATTTCTGTTCAACTTCTTTTCCCATCTCCGGCATTCTCTTCCATTTGTATTTTAAAATTTTTAGCCTTGCCTCCCCTAGGATAATCCATCTTCAGTCGTGAGAAGTAGTGAACATGTAGAATTGATTTTTAGAGAGAATAGAAGCGGCGGGCTGGATGGTGTTAGATGAGGATCATAATGTGTACATATACGTTCATACACACAAACCGTTGGAGGCCGAGGAAGGGATATTCGATGTCTAGTGGGTAGTTATTGGTTTAGTGAAAAAAGGATGAATATGATTATGTTTCTTAGCTCAAGCATTCTATCAATAAAATTCCATTTCTTTTCCCTCTCTGTCTTGTTAACATTTAACTCATTAATGATCTATAAGTTGCATTTCTAGTTTGAATGCCTTCTGAATGGTAAGCTGTGTACTATTGATTTGAGTAGGGCTAATCTTGCCAATTTAATCTCAATTGTAAGGGTTTTTTTTTCCGTTTTTTTCCGTCGATCGAGAAATTTCCGAGTGTATTCTCTAGCCGAGGGTCTATCGGAAATAGCCTCTCCACCCTCCCAGGGTAAGGGTAAGGTCTGCATACATATTACCCTCTCCAGACCCCAGTTGTGGAAGTCACTGGGTGTTGTTGAGAAATCTCCGAGTGTGAATTGACGCACCGTTCGAAACTCGGCAGATAATGGGTCGCTCCCTCAAGTTATAATTGATGTTTGGTTCTTAATAGATGGGCTATGTGGACCGGTTGATTTTTGGGGTTTTGTACTTTGGTAAATTTCATAAGTATATGATTGTAGCTGTCCCTTTCTTAACTTGTCTGCTCCCCTAAAAATTTTTTCTTTGCCAATGTTATGGACCATTTTGTGATATGGATAGTATATACAGCTATGGTACTTATGCATATTCATTGTGTGTGTATATGCTATGGTCCCTCAAACCTAATATATCTTTGAATATGTGGCAAATGAGTAACATGATTGCTCTTAACTAGGGGTGGCAAAATGGTTCAAAGAAAACAGTTAACCACCCATATTATCCATTAAAAAATGGGTTGGATAATGAACTATTTAAAACCGGGTCAAATATGGATAAGAACCATATTATCAATTTAGAAAATGGATAACCAATGAATCTAACTTTTACATTTGTAAAGCCTCAAATTGGGTGTTCCTCAAGTTAGGGTGACTAAGAATTCTCCCATATGCAAGAAGTCATGGATAATATGGTTACCCATATTATCTGCCGGTTAACTCGTTTTTTATCTGTATTAAATATGGGTCGGGTCGGATAATTTATCCGTTTTTTCATTACCCATCTTTCAATCGAACCATATCCGACTTGACCCACCCGTTTGCCACTCCTGCTCTTAACTTTAAAAATGGAGAAGGTCAGTTGTTTTTGGGGTGAGTCTCTCTTTTCCATCTTGGATGATCAGGCCGAGTGTTGCTTCCGGGTCCTTCCTTTCTATTTCTCGGTAAGCGGATCGTGGGAGCATGGGGACGATATCTACTTTTCATTGATAGAAAGTATCTCTCTTTTGTCCCTCCTGACCGAACTCGCTTACAGCAAACTATTATCTCTTGGGCAGCTATTGTTGCAAGCCTCAACACTTTGGTAAAATGTCACAAGCAGGCACCGGGGGTTCTTTACTTTTTGGTGGGGTGGAGGGCTTTCGTCTTAAGTTCGGTAGGAAAAATACCAGAATGGTTGTTTTGTTTCAAGACGGGTCGAATATTGAGTCTACATGCTAGTACGCTCAACAGTGGATATGGACTTAAATCGTCTAGAGTGGGGCGTCATAGAGGAGCTCTGATACCATAAAAAGTATAGGCTGCAGAACGGATAAGGGCTCAAATCCTCTAGAATGGGGCGTCGTAGAGGAGCTCTGATACCATTAAGAATACATGTTGCAAAATGAGTTAAAGGAGCGCTATATGATTAATGAAGAATGACTCATTGTTTAGAGCTAAGTTACAACAGAAAAGATAAGATGAAATATTAACCTAACAAATTTCTAAAATAATGATTAACAAATAATATAATATTAACCTAACAAACTTCTAAAATAATGACTAACAAATAATATATAAAGGTACAGAAAGATAATCAAAAGCTACTATGTTAAAGTCCATAAGAGCCCCATTGTGTTCGGTCTTTTGATTGGAAACGTCATTTCTTTGATTGTGGCAAGCAATGCACCTTAATTGAGTTCAAATTCTAAAACTAAGTGTGTGTTTGGTATGACAAAATAATATTTTTTAATTTTTTCATGTTTAGTTGGCTTAAATATTTTCCTTTATCAACTCATTTCCTCCAATTGGTGGATAATGACTTCCTTACCAAAATAAGAAGAAATATTTTCCAAAACTCTTTATCAAACTTTCCCACATTATTCCCCACCAAACCCTCACCCCACCTCACCCACCCCAACCCCACTCTCTCCGATCCCTCTCCCCAACCCCCTCGCCCCCTCTTGGCCACCCCACCCCTAACATCGTCATCGCCACCCGCGCCTCTAGACCCCGACTTACCATCCCCTCCCGCTCTTGTTTCGCCTCATATAGTATCTGCTTAAATTATATATATATATTTTAATTTGCTACCTAATCAAATACCAAAAAATAAGTAAGAAAACTATTTATTTTTCAAAAAAATATTTTTCAACTGAAGCAATGAAACAAACCCTACATAAAACAAACCCTAAAGCTTTACAAGACAAACTTCAAACTTTAATGAAACAAACCCCACTTAATTAAATTAGAGTTGAAATGAGTTGAGAATGAAGAAGACGACAATATATGGAAAAGGACTAAACGCTATAAAGTCCAAAATACATAGGCAGCGAAATTATAGGAATCTAATAAAGTTAAGAAGAAAAATTGGGATTTGAATAAATAAAGAATAAAAGACACGTTGCTAAATGACACATCAAGTCATAACGTAGCAGTATTTGCCGTACGAATTACGTTACAGAGAATAGGGGGAAAAAGATATTTCGAGATTGATGTGTAATCAATACTTCAAAAGGAAATATATGATATCAGTCAATGGAATCAGATCATCATTCAATATTATAGCAATTATAGATCTATCTGTCTTATCTATTGCACTAAAAATATGGCTTTATGATCAATGAATTACGTTGGAAATTATGAGAATTCAGGTTTAATTCACAAACAACAATAATATATTAGTGTATTCTCACAGTGTAGGTCAGACAGGGGCAGAGACAGAGTGTGTGATACGAGTTCGGCCAAACTAGTAATTTTTGTTCAAACCATATATTTGTTTAAAAAAATTCATCGAATATGTACAACTTATTAATTTAAAATTCAGTAACTTAAAAGGATTACAATCCCGAATCCATAAGGTTCAAATCTTGGCTCCGCCTCTGGGGTGTGGGGTATGTGTATACAGACCTTACTCCTACCTTGTGAAGGTAGATAGATTATTTTCGGTCACTCATCGGTTCAAGAAAAGTAATTCATAGTAAATTTGGAAAAGAAAAACAGTAATGAAGAAGTCATGCTGAAAATAATAAAGGCAAGAACAGTAAGAAAACCAATACAAATGAATCCAACAGATAAAATACATTATATAGGCCAGGGATTGGCACTGGACATTTCCAAAATGGGAACTATCGGATAAATTTAATATAATAGACGTCTGTTGGCATTCCAACCTTCCTTCTCCTTTCAGAGCCTATCCAAAAGAGAATCCACTACTTCTTGGTTGTGAATATTGTTTGCTGTACAAGAATTTTTGTTGTATGGGGTCAAATTTGATCGCCAGCATCCCTACGCCAGAGGGTACGCCCAATGAGTGCACGCCGACTAACGTAGCGGGCACGACTCGGACGTGGGGACGAAAGCGACATCGTTTAGGACTCAGTGTCTTCACTAGGGAGACATCACCTGTCTTTGTAACTTTTTGATTCTTTCGAGGAAGGTCTCTTATTATATAAAGGAGACCTTCACATTGTAAAAAGGGGATTCTGATCTAATACAACTCTCTCATTTTCTGTCTCTCTCTCTCTATCTCTATCTCAAACGAACATATCTTGTTAAGTTCATATTATCACTTTGCAATACCAGATCTACAACAATAATATCATCTTTGCATCTCTAGGTTTATTATATTTGATTACGATTTACCCTTTTCTTACTTTCGATTGTTTTCTAGCTTACAAAGTATATTGCTAACTTTTGAGCCAAACAATTTGGCGCCGTCTGTGGGGATTTCGAGAATTAAAATCATAGTATCCACCTAGAGAACAACCAACTACCATTCTTTGAACCACACAAACACAAAAGATGGCTGAGAATAATCCATGATCAAAAGCTATATTGGGTGTCACTACCAATCTCCTTGGCCCTCTCAACGAGACCAGTGACAATGGCATCCCGAATGTAACCCCTAGTATCACATCGGGTGCGGAGATCTCACCTTCCCCATCCGAAGATCTGACGATCTTGCACGAAAAGGGAGCTTCCACATCTGCGGCTACGGAAGCACCCTCAACGGTCAAGAAGCTACTGGAAAGATGGCTAACAAGCACTCTGAGTGGCTTGGTTGAGAGGTCACCACAAAGTAACATCAGGTGTACACCAACGGTAGATACCACTGCTGCCGCGGGTGAACCGGAAGTTGCACTAGCAAATAACGAACCCGTCGAGACACAGACCAACGATGGCACGCTAACAACCATCCTAAAGAAGATGGAAGAAATGAAAAATGAAAACAAGGCGCTCCACGATCAGATGAAGGAACATCAGGAGAGGGTCGACAAGATCCCCAGTGCCCCCAAGTTGCTACGAAAACGCGATGCGGGAAGGTTCGTTGAACAACCATACACTAAAGAAGCTGCCCCTCACTCCACCCCAAAAACCTTCAAGATGCCACCCTACTTGAGGGTATATGACGGAACCACTGATCCCGAGGATCATCTGATCAACTACGTCACCGCTATGAAGGGCAACGACCTATCAAAAGAACAGGTACCGTCGGTACTGCTAAAGAAGTTTGGCGAGATGTTGACAGGAGGGGATTTAACATGGTACTCTCAGCTACCAGCTAAGGCAATATCAACGTTCGAGGAAATGGCGGACAAGTTCGTCACAGCCCATGCAGGCGCGAAAAAAGCGGAGGCCAGGGTCAACGACATCTTCGCCATCAGGCAAACTGCAGGAGAGGGACTCAGGGACTTCCTAGCAAGGTTTAACAGAGTAAGGATGAGTCTACCAAACGTATCGGAAGGTATGGCAGTCGCCGCTTTCCAGAACGAGCTAAGCAGGGATGGTTCAAGGGCAACCAAGAAGTTGCTGAGCCGCCTCATGAAATATCCCCCTACCACATGGGAGGAAATCCACAACGCCTATTGCGCTGAGGTACGAGCGGACGAGGA